AAAGACCCGAGCTAACATGGGGTTAGCTCGTTAAATTACAATAAAGCCTCGTGCAGTTTGCAGCAAGCTCTCGAATCCGCCTGGTGATTGGGGTGACCGCGAACCTGGCCTGAGACCCCGGATACTTTCGGGGGTCTAACACTTTCTGTTTTGAGAAAAAGCAGGTAGTATTGCCTGGTCCTCAAATTCAGTATTTTGTCAAAACTATCAGAACAAATGTCATCTTTTTGTATAACAAATATTTCCAAAACATTATTTACCTTCTTGCTGTGAAGTTCATAGACAATATAACCTAGCTGCACACATAAGTATAAAAATATAACAATATTACCATAAAGGTCACTGTAATGGCGATTTTAATATGGCAAGGGAGTCGCCGGCTTGCTGTGTGATGAACGGCGTAGTCAGAAAGTTATGCTTTTCACATAAGTCACTGTAGATTAAGCCTGACCAGATCTTCTGAAATTGTAATCCAGTTTCTGTGAAGTTCTGGCCAAAAAAAGAAGAAGAAGAAGAGGAGGAGGAGGAGGAGGAGGAGGAGGAAAGAAAGAAAGAAAGAAAGACACACACAAACATACTGCCCTTTATTTCTTCCACACTAGGAAACATATTTTCACTTTTAAATATTTGTTACCTATGTTATTCCCATCAACTCTCACTAGAGGGAGCCACTTGTCCTTTAGAAAGTGATAATGGGCCTATGCTAGAACTGGATTCTTGTAAATTGACCCACAATTTTTATTCCCACTAAACTATGATTGTTTAAAGATGCATTTTAGACAGGATTAGTTTTATTTTGATTTTCCAGTAACCATCAGACTGAAGTGTACCATTTGGTTCTGCCTAGTCTGACAAGGTCCCCCCGGTCATGGACTTGGTTCAAATTCTAGCTCCATCATTCATTGGCTATTTGACCTGGACAAGTCACCTCACCTCTCTAGGCCACGTTTTCCTAATAAAAAAGAAATTATGGGCTAGCAAGATGGCTCAGCAGGGAAAGGTGCTTGCCACCTAGTCTATGGATGAGTTTAATCCCCAAGACCAACAGGGAAGAAAGAAAATGATTCCTTCAAGTTGTCCTCTGACCAACACACACACACACACACACACACACACACACACACACACACACACACAATCAACAAATCAGTGATATTAAAGGAATGTTTATACTTAAAAAGGAAATCATCATTCCTATTTTAGAACCCTAATATGAAGATGACACAAGATGAATAAAATAAAAAATGATGTATAAAGTATTTAAAATTATAAGATTTCAATTAGCAATATTACTTTTATCTTATGCTGAAGCTTACACACATTTTAATGACAGTTTTATAGACCGACTTAATGATGTCCTATAGAGCGTTAAGGGCATGAAGTTCAAAGACAAAGTCATCCATGCAGATGAGAGTATTCAGTGTATGCTTCATGGAGGAAATGGACTTTGACTGGGTTCCCACTTTGGATAAGGGCTGACCAGCTGGAGAGAGGTGGATGCTGGGAACACAGGAGGCACGTTTGCACATGACGCCAGCTGTTCATTGTTGATTCTACATCCGTCTGATAGAATAGCCACCACCCCCGAGTGGCTTTTATTTTTATGTCAATCAAAGAGAAATAAAAACTTAGCTCATCAGTCACTCTCACTTCCTTTAAGGGGCTGAATGGCAACATCTGAGTGGTGGCTGCTAAACTGAAGAGCACACAACATTCCATTGTGGGGCAGTTTGATTGGACAGTTTTCTAGATCCAGCATCATGTAGAAGGAAAGTAGGTTTGCTAGAATTAAACAGTGAACAAAGAAACAGCAGGGATACAACTTATAAATGCTTTATAGAGACAGAACAATGGGATTCTTTATTGAAAAGGACAATATTACTAGAAGTACTTACTGCCTCACATAATATCAAAAAAATGATCCAACGTCTCAGATGGATAGCTGGTGTTGGCTGGGGAGGTGGGGATAGGGACAGGAGAGATCAGGTGTGAGGAAAGACAACTGGAGTTGGGAGACTAGCTAGAAACCTAAGGCAATGGAAATTCCCAGGAATCTATAAGTGTGACCCTAACTAAGACTCCTTGCTGGGCTTTGAGACCCTTTTCCTCATCCTGGGTTGCCTTAGTATGAGGGAAGATGCCTAGTCTTACTGCAATTTGATATCCCATGTTTTCATTGATATCCATGGGAGGCCTGCCCTTTTCTGGACAGAAACAAGAGGAGTGCATGGGGGAAGCAGAGGGGAGGCAGGGGAGACTGGTAGGAAAGGAGGGAAAGGAAACTGCAGGGAATATAAAAATAAAATAAAAACGATGATCCAAATGTTATGCACTGTCACTAAGAAACTCACAGATGTAAAATATATTACAAAAACTCCAGAAAGAAGAATGAAGCTAAATGCAGCAATGCTGGACATGTCACTTGCAAAATTTGAATATTAAACTATTTATAAAATTAAAAAAATAAATGGTTATTCACGGATACCCACTATATTTTTGTAAAGTAATAATGTAAAGTAATTTAAAAAAACATTTGCACATTATATAAGTATTTTAAAGTCACTATGAAACATAGAGATTTAGATGGCTTGATACCTGAGTTTAATAGGGAGGCCACTTCATAAATATGGCTTTTGTATTTGAAACATTCCAAATCCCAAGGCTCAGAAATTTCATACAAGGTAAAATCTTTCTGAGTATTTTCTCTATATGGGGCATAAATGAATAGGCAAAACCCTTTAAAGATTGTTCCATGAATTTGTGTTAGTTACCATTCATTAAAACTCTAGACCTCATATATAATCTTACAAAAATACTAGCAACTTTCAAAAATATAAGTACAGTTCCAGAGTCAAAGAACCTTTTTAAAACAACCAGACCTTTATAACTAAAACAAAAACAAAAATAAATAAATAAAAACAAAGAGCCCTTCTGTTTTAAAGGAAAGTTCATCAAGGTCATTCATTTTTCAAATAAAAATTAATTCAATATGAAAAAGCTAATATTTTGATATCTAATTTAATACCTCAGTTGTCGTAACTCTTCATGTGAAAACTCTGCCTTGTGAAATCATTGGCTCTAAGATTACATTGTAACTTCCTTTGGTTTGTAAGCAAACATTCTATGCATGCCTATTTCGAACACGAAGGCTGATTTGGAAAGAGACCATCATTCATTCCTCCAGTTATCAGTAGAAAGCTTCATAATTATTGAACTTTTGCCAAATAATATGCACTATGCTAAATGTATCCATGGCTAGAAGTAATTCACTTTGTTGTAAAGATGAATGTGCTTCTGTATGTTATGTTAACTAATTCGTAGTGAAACATAGGTTTACCTGACCTCAGAGCTCTTTCTGCTATATCATATTGCTTTTCTGATTTCTTGAAATAATTAGGCAACATATAGGAACCTGGGAGTAACTGCTGCAGTTTTCTAATGACATTTTCCAGGATCTGTATCTTGAATAATAGCACCCTAAGGATCCATAAGCAATGTTGTCTTCATTGATTGAATGAATGATTTGTCGTTTTCCTAGTTAGGGTTTCTATTGCTAAGATGAAATATCATAACCAAAGGAAAGTTGGGAAGGAAGGGTTTATTTGGCTTATGCTTCCACATCCATTGCAGTCTATCGTGGAAGAAGTCAGTACAGGAACTCAAGTACTGCAGGAACCTGGAGGCAGGAGCTGATGCAGAGGCCATGGAGGGGTGCTGCTTACTGGCTTGCTCCTCATGGCTTGCTCACCCTTCTTTCTTATAGAACCCAGGATCACCAGCCCAGGGTGGCTCCACCCACAATGGACTGGATCTTTTCTCATCAATCACTACATAAGAAAATGCTCTACAGGCTTGTCTACAGCCCTATCTTATGGAGGGTTTTTTTTTTCTTTTTTTCTAGATTGAGGCACCCTCCCATACCTAGAGTCAAGAAAGAGATGCAGGACAGCCTCCAGAGGAACAAGACTTCCTAGAGGATGAGTAAAGCCATCAACCATGTAGCAAAATGTAGACTAATAGAAATGGGTTTAAGTTGTAAGAGCTAGTTAGTAATAAGTCTGAGCTATAGACAGAGAATATTGTAATTAATGTAAACTTCTGTGTGTTTATTTGAGACCAGGCTGTCAGGACAAAAGAAAAGCTCTGCCTCCGATTACAGTAACACCCAAGACTAGAGGCACATGCCATTTGTTCTTTCCAGACACGATAAATTCAAAACATTTGTTAATTCTTACTGCATACAGGATACTGAGTATGTGTTCACTGGGGATGTATGGCACTGTGGAGAAGATAGAGAAATAAATAATTGAAACACCACATGATAAATGCACCAAGAGATAAAAGCAAAGGACTTTGGGTAGGCAGAGGAGGGAGTTTCTATGATTGTAATTGATAATAGAACTGTCTTAGGATTCAAGGGAAGATAAATTTGAGATAAATCCTAACTTAAAAAAAATAAGATTATAACAGGAAAAGGAAGTCAAACAAATTCTAGGCTGACAAAATACCCTTAATATAAAAACCAAATCACAAGCAGGAGTAGAGCCAGCCTGAAAGGTAAAGACAGGGTCATTTCTTGGGTGCAATGCTTTCAGCAAAATGGGATGTGACAGTTAAGAACCTTTTCTGTTATGCTGTTATAATGTGTGTGTTAAATGATAGTGGGCTAAATATAATGATTATAAATGCCTTTATCAGTCCTGTGGCTGTTAGAGTATTGAGGTAGGTAGGATTTAAAGTAAAGTTACATGAATTGAGTCAGGAAACAAAATGAATCATCATACGGAAGGTTGTATAATTAAAAGTGGATATATCAGTTTCGGAATGCTTCTAAAAATCTAGGCAGCATCAGTGGGGGGATCTTTAGGAACACGATGGGCAATAACAAAAGGCTTAAGAAAAATATTAAAACAACTGATAAAATATCAGTAACAGTTTGAACAGTGATGTAAACAACTAAAATTCAGTCAAAATTTTAATTTGTAGTAGTAGGACTCATGTTATGGAGCATGGTACTTGCTTTAATAAATGAATTAGACACTGCCTTGATGGTATATTTGATATTATTCCTTTTAATCTAAGTATATTTTAAAATATGCAAACTAATAATTATCTCATAATTATTGAAAATGCCTATTTTAAGTAAATTTAGCATATGGAAGTTTATATAAAAGGCCTAGTGTTAAAATTAGCCAAAAATGTTAACTATTAGCCAAGTTAAAAATAATTTGTGAACTGTATTTTTATTGGTGCCAACAGATTCCTTTTAAAATAGAAATGTCCCTATGGTCATATGTTAGTGTAAATAACTTGAATAACCTACAAAGCAGGTTTTTTATTGAACTCTGGGGTGTAGGCATATTAATGATAGCATTAAAGAGGACCCAAAAGCCCTTCATATGGTTCTTGAAAAGATTGAGGAGATAGGGTATCTTGGAATGGTAGATATATTTGTAAATGGATATGAAAAAATAAACTATATCAGAATAGCTCTAAAATCAGAAGCTGATTGCAAATCTCAACATCTCATTTTGGCTCCATCCTCAAACAAAAAGACAACTTCTTGAATAACAAATCCTTCCCTCATTCTCCTCTGAGGTATCCTAAAACCAGGAGCATTTTCAGCAACTCCTTGATGAGTGTAAATGTTGACAACTACAGCATAAAAGAAGCCGCTCCCACCCTTAACAGGCCCACAGTGCATGTAGAGAGTAATCAGGAAACTCATCACATTCCAAGAAGGGTAGGCAAAATAGAATAGTGTTCCTCTCGCTCCTCCCAAAGGCATAAATGACCTAACCCTAATAACCTGTGAAAATGTTACCTTCACAGGGAACTAAAGTTGCAGATGGAACTAAGGTCACTAATCAGCTGACTTTGAAGTGGGGCTATTCCGGTGGGCCCAATGATGTATTGCAAAGAGCCTTTAAAGTAGAAGAGGCTGGCAGACAGGGTCAGAGTGTTGCAATAGGTAAAGAATCCAACCTTCCATTGCTGCCTTTGAAGAGGGAGGAAGGCACCATTAGTCAAGGAATGCCATCAGCTAGCAGGAGCTGGAGAGATCAAGGGAATGCCTTCACCCAGAGGCCCTGAAGAAAGGAAACCCTGATGATGAATGTCTCCAGTTCAGTCCAGGGAAACCCTTCTGGACTTCTGATCTCACAGCTGTATGATGATGAATTTGTGTTGTTCTAAGTTACTAAATTTGTTTTAACTTGTTATAGCAATTGCCAATAACAAAATATAAAAAACATTTAATAAGTATTACATTTATAATATTCATACAATACTTTTATCTCATGCTATTTCAGTTCTCCAATGAAACATTGGATCTTTTTGTATTTTTCCAAATGATCCAGAGAAAATTGAGAGCCCTTTCCTCCTCTACCCATTCATTGAACACCAAATTGAAAAGAAAAAAGAAACACTGTCAAGATATATTCTCTTTTTTAAGCCTTAGGTATTGCTTACACATCTGTTGTGATATTTCTTTTATTTGATTTTGTTTCGAGTTCTTCATTATCTGATTTATTTATCCTTCCTAGTTTGGAAACAAACTGAACATGAGAATGATTCTCCCGAGGTTTACTCTTCCCAGGATAGCATCAGTCTGCACGAGGCAGGCAGCACATGCCAAGTAATAAGTATAGCGGGGAAGGGGAAGCTTAGAAAGTGAATGAGCATGCCCACCATCATGCCAGGGACAAAATTTCATTTGCAAGAGAGACAGAGAAGTTAGGCCTCACTAATATAGTTGTGTGCCGTTTATGCTCCCCAGGAAAAGAGAGGTCTCACTCCTGAGGAGCAGTGTGAAGTTTCTCCCTCTTCTGGTTTTGACAAAAATTGAACCAATTCACTGTACTTATATCTTTAGAAACCGTGAGCATAAAGTGCCCAAAGGTATGGTAAACTAGAAATGTAAGTCAACACTTAACCCTGAGAAGTTTCTAAGAGAAGGAAAGGAGGGAGGGAGGGAGGGAGGGAGGGAGGGAAAAGAATCTTGACTTTGGTTTTTATAGAATTTGAGCTCATACATTTTAGGACTAATATAAACAGAAAGTACTTGGTTCTTGTGGCCCATGAATTTTAAGAGTATAAAGCAACCTGGATCAGTGCTGTAGTCTTCCCTTTAGAAGTTCCTCTTGCTTGAACTCTTGACTCTAATAGGGATCAGAGTAAGAATAAAAAAAAGCAAAAGAAATGTATGTCACACTTGCCAGCCATGAGAACAGGCAGAAAATTGAGCAGAGTTTTAAGTATCGTTACAAGTATGTCAGCTCTGCTTACATGCATATGCACTCTAGTTACATGCATGTGTGCTCATGGCTTCATTGTTGTTTGGTTTTATTTGCTTGTGGGCTCTTGTGTTTTGTTTTTAAGACAGGGTTTCTCTGTGTAGCCCTGATCATCCCGAAACTCTCCATGTAGCTCAATCAGGATGGTCCCAAATTCAGAGATTAGCCTGCCTATGCCCTCTGCCTCTGCTAAAGGCAGGTACAACCACGGTGCGGCTAATGTGCTAATGTTATGGAGATAGTTTTTGATGTGTAAGTGGGAATTTTAGGAGGAAGATATGAACAAACAGAAAACCTAACCTGCTGAAATCCTCAGAGATGTTCTTTTTTATCTAAAGCTTTTCTCTGTTACTGAATCTCGGATCCAAAGCAGCCATCACAAGTGGTGTGTGTCTATGTTACTGAAGAATATGGGTGGGTGGCTTGTATCAATGGAAAGCACAATCCAAACATGTTTGTGTATGGAGTGATTAGGTTCATGTTAGATACATGTAGAAATACAGGTTAGGGTCAAGATAAAAGTGAAGCTAAGAAGTGGTGATGGAGGTAAAGGGGTAGTGACATAGTTGGGGGGGGGCTTCTTCTGCATTCAACTTCACCCAATAATAGCTCCAAAACTTCAAAGAAACTATGGCATCTTTTTGTTTCTTACCCGAGAGAATTAGGGATAAACTAATCTTGGCATGCATATTATTAAAAGTTACTCTGATTAAATCCGGTGAGACAGCCTAGAGGTGTAAACACATTTGCCTCTCAGCCCGGTGACCTTTGTTGAGTCCCTGAAACTTTTGAGGGGGTGAAAGGAGAAAACCAAGTCCAATGTCCTCTGGCCTTCAGATGCATGCCATGGCACACACATGCCTGCATTCACACATCATGCACACACACACACACACACACACACACACACACACACACACACACACACAAACCACTAAACTAAAAAATCCAAAACTTTTTAGATGTATTTTCTTTTATGTGTGTGAGTGTGTTACCTGCATACATATGTGTGCATCACATGCATGTCTGGTGCCTATAAAGGTCAAAAGAGGCATCAGCTCCCGGAGAACTGGAGTTAATGATGAATGGGAACCACCATGTAGGTACTGAGAACTGAGCCCAGGTCCTTTGCAAGAACAGCAAATGCTTTTTAACTGATAACCATCTCTTCAGCACCCCCAATAAAAAATTAATATCAAAGTGACTAATTCTAGACTGTGAATTAAGCTTGAAAAAATAAAGTGTGGCCTAAAGCATCGCCCTGTTTTCTAAGGTTACTAGTGTTTTGGTCAAGGATAATTTGCAATGTTAAACGGAAATAAAGTTGCGAAATTTTAGTAAACTGGTGATCCACTGATCATTTATTTTAATTTAGGAATTATTTATAAAGTCTTCCAGAAAGATGTGCAAATGTTTGGGAAGTTACTTGCCACAGGAGAGAGTAATCAAGGACAGACCTCCTGGTCTTGCATGAGGGACTTTCTGCTCTTAGTATGTAGCTCTGAGCATCGGGCTTATACTTTCAGAGGGTACCATAGCACTGCAGGATCCAAAGTCCCAATAAGAGGAATAAGAAAGCCATTGGGATAGTGTGTATCAAGTAGTGCATTTTGCATGGCTGCTACTATTTCTGAAATATTAAATAATCTTTAGGAATGTGATATTCATTTCCTACCATATTTGGGCATTCATATAAATGCCAAAATTAAAGAAAAGCCTGTGTCAACTGTACAATTTACTTTAACTTCTGCATATATAATTCTATTGCCTTTATTGATAGCACTCCACAATAGTGAGGAGTTGAGAATTTTTAGAATTTTGAGGATCATGCATAATATTTGGCAATGTCCTAAAGTGCTTTCTGACACATTGTTACCTTCCTCTCCTGCTGAAGATTTGCTTTGCATAATTATCTTCTTGACTATTCTAGTTCAGACCAAGAAGTCAAGTGGAGAATTGTTTAGCCTTTCACCAGCTTACTGAAGTAAGTGTAAAGAACTATTGTTCTCCTCCCTCCCCCAGTCTGTGCATCTAAGTCCAAAATAAATGAATGGGAACAAGTTTCCTTTACTACTTTTAGCATAGAATTTCAGTCAGGAAAAAATTCTGCTCAAGAATGAATCCTGGCAGTGTTCCTTGTGCCATCAGGCAGCAGAGAAGCCTTGGAGTATGGAAGGATATTAGGAGAAGATCCATATTTATTTAGATAAACACCAGCCAAACACAAGCCAGAGCATGCCAGGGGCAGCAAGGCATGTAGGCCAGAGAGAAGGGGCTCCCATGTGCCTTGCAGCCCCTTAAAAACCTATCATGCGTCATCCTGACCTCATCTTGACCACGCCCTGACAGACATGGTCAGTCACACCTGTACCCAGCTTCTAGCAGGCATGACTTACACTGTCCCCTACAGAAGGATGCCAAGATAAATTCTGCTGGGTACCAGTGGAGTCATTTATATACAATAACATATGATCACACTTTTCATACAATTTCACAGCCATTCTTCCTCCAGCTTAATTGATAGCATTTATAGGCAACTACCTAAGAAGCAAAATTGTTTCTGATGTGACTTTAATTTGGATACTAGTCAGATATAAAAATTTAAAAATGCCCCAAGAGACAGAGGATTCTGGGTAGTAGAGTGGTGGTAGATTCTGATGCAGTCAGCATGTGTGTGTAGGGTTGCAGAGAGGGAAAGAGAATGGGCTTGGGCAGCCTCATCTCCACAGGTGAAAGTTCTGAGGACCTACTGGGAAACTCTTGTTCCTCCCGTTGAACATGGCTAGGGCTTTCTGGAAGCCCTGACCTCACTCCTATGAATCCAGACTATGTAGCCCACTGTGTGATAGGCAGGGAGAGCATTCCTGCTCATGTCATCTCCTGTGTTATCTCTTAAGACCTGTTTTATCTTTAGTTCATTCTCAGTTACTCTTGAGCCTCCCATCCCTCCATTACACCATGGCTGGAGTAATCAGATAAGTACTGTTGGTTAAGATTAAAATCCCCTTGGTGGCTGACTGATGCTTTTGGATAAAGAAGACAGTTCTCTGAGATCAACTTTGTTCTTTTTTCCTCTCCTCTGGCCACTGTTAAGCTTTAGATTCTATATTCTGCAAGTCTCCTTGGCTCTTTTTATACAGTTTGTTTTGCTGAACTTCTCTATGCTAGTACCCCTTTCCCCAGTTCAGTCTTACTAGCCAACTTATCTCAACTTGAAAGTGACATTCCCTAGGATACCCTTGAGTGATTATACTGGGCTAGACCCTTCTGCTTTTTATACATTTGCAGTGCATATCATACCCTTCTTTTTAGTCCTTACTATAACTGTAGTTTTTTGATACCTTTCTTATTAAATTACAAACTAAGTGAGGACACAGATTATTTCTGATAATGGAATTGTATCTCATGTAATCTAGTCTGGCACTTTATAAAATGATCATTGTATACTTCTTGAATGGATGAATAAAAGATGAATCAACAGAAGACTAGGTAGGTCAGTCCTGCAATCCTCCCCAACTCTCTTGGTTCCCTCAGGCATACACTCCCAGCCCAACCACAGACCACACCTACCAGAAGACCAGTCTTCAACTCAGATCAGAAGTCACACAGGCCACCAGAACTCCAGACACCAACTGCTCAACTGATGGGGGAGGTCCTTCTGTGTCTATGATTGTCTTATTGGTTGATAAATAAAGTACTGTTGGCCAATAGGAAAACAAGATAGGTGGGACTAGGAGTCAAGGAGGATTCTGGGAAAGGTAGGAGAAAGCACAAAGTCGCCATGTGAGCCTGGGAAGACAGGATGCTTCTGCTGGTGGCAGATAAGATAAGTCTTATAAAATATATAGATTTATAATACTTAAGACTGAGCTAGCAGATGAGAAATCCTAGTCATTGGCCAAGCAGCATTTGTACCAAATATAAGTCTCTGTGTGTTACTTGGGACATTAACGTGGTGGCAGGTGGAACTCTGGCAGCCTGGCCAAAAGTGGTGGCGGGGCTCTGGTGGATGAAGGAAAGACTTATTGTTACACTCAACCACGGACTATACAGGCTAGAAGATTAGAGAAGAAACAGAAACCAAGGAGCAAACACCCGTCCAACAAAGACAAAGCCAGAAACTGGCACCCAGACCTATAATCATCACAGACCTGATGCCTAGATGACAGAGTAAGAACACAATCAACAATAGCAATATCCAGGGCAGTATGTCACCACCAGCTGTCTTACTATAGCAAGCCCTGAGTGTTCCAACACAGCTGAAGCATAAGAAAAAGACCTTAAAACCAATATTATGGAGATAGGTGATAAAGGCCCTTAAAGAAGATGTGAATAAATTGCTTAAATAAATCAAGGAAAAGACAAAAAACTGAGAGAAATGAATATATACCTTAAAGAAAGCCAAAAAAGTTGAAGGAAATGAATAAAACCGATTCAAGACCTGAAAATGGAAATATAAGCAATAAAGAAATCTAAAACGGAAGAAATCCTAAACGTTGAAAATCTTGATAAGCAAATGGGAATGACAGATGTAAGCATCACCAACAGAATACAAGAGAAGGAAGAAAGAGTCTCAGGTGTTGAGCTTATGATAGAAGAAATAGATAAATTGGTCAAAGAAAATATTAACTCTAACAATTTTTTAACACAAAATATGCAGAAAATCTGGGACACTATGAAAGGACCAAACCTATGAATAATAGGAATAGAAGAAGGAGAAGAATCCCAGCTCAAAGACTTAGAAAATATTTTCAACAAAACCATCAAAGAAAATTTTCTAACCTAAATGAGATGCCTATAAAGATACAAGAAACATACAGAACACCAAATAGGTTGGAACAGAAAAGAAAGTCCACTAATCACATAATAATCAAAACACTAAACATACAGAATAAAAAAGAATATTAAAACTGCAAGGGAAAAATAGAAAGTAATATATAAAGGAAGACCTATTAGAATTACACTCAACTTCACAGAGAGACTGCAAAATCCAGAAGGGCTGGACAGATAGGCTGCAGAATCTAAAAGACAACAGATGCCAGCACAGACTACTATACCTAGCAAAACTTTCAATCACCATAGAAGGAGAAAACAAGATATTCCATAATAAAGTCAAATTTAAACTATCTACAAACCCAGCCCTACAGAAAGTACTAGAAGGAAAACTCCAACTCTGGGAGTTTAACTATATTCATGGAAACATAGGAAATAAATAATCTTACATTAGCAAAACCAAAAGAAGGGAAGCACACTGTACACACACACACACACCACCACCACCACCACCACAACAACAACAACAACCAATAACAACAAAATAACATGAATTAATTATCATTGGTCATTGATATCTCTCAGTATCAATGGACTCAATTCCCCAATAAGAAGACATAGACCAATAAAATGGATGTGAAAACAGGATCCATCATTCTTCTGCATACAAGAAACACACCTCAATATCAAAGATAGACATTACCCCAGAGTAAAGGGTTGAAAAAGATTTTCCAAGTAAATGGACCTAAGAAGCAAGCTGGTGTAGTCATTCTAATACCTAACAAAATAGGCTTCAAACCAGAAATTAATCAAAAGATAGGGGGAAGGACACTTCATACTCATAAAGGAAAAATTCACCAAAATGATGTTTCAATTCTCAACATCTATGCCCTAAACGCAAGAGACCTACATTTGTAAAAGAAATATTACTACAGCTTAGACCACACATGAACCCTCACACTTTGATAATGGGGTACTTCAATACCCCACTCTCACCAATGGACATCCCATCCAGCCAGAAACTAAACAGAGAAATACTGGATCTAACAGACATTATAAACAAAATAGACCTAACAGATATCTACAGAACATTTCACCCAAACACAAAAGAATATACTTTTTCTCAGCACCTCACAGAACTTTCTCCAAAATTAACCACATACTGAGTCACAAAGCAAGTCTCAATAGATACAAAAGAAAAATGGAAACAACCCCCTGCATTCTAACAGACCACCACAGGTGGATTTCAAAAACAACAGAAACAACTGAAAGTCTACAAATACATAGAAGCTGAAAAACTCCCTAATGAATTGCACCTGAATTAAGACAGAAATAAAGAAATTAAAGACTTCCTAGAATTCAATGAAGATGAATGCACAACATACTCAAACTTACTGGACTCAATGAAAACAGTGCTAAGAGGAAAGTTCACAACACTAAGAGCCTGAATAAAGAATTTGGAGAAATCTCATACTAGCAACTTAACAGCACACCTGATAGCTCTAGAACCAAAAGAATAAGCACACCCAAGAACAGTAGGTGGCAGGAAATAATCAAACTTGTGGCTAAAAATCAAAATAAAGACAAAACAATTATAAAGAATCAATGAAGCAGAGTTGGTTCTCTGAGAAATTCAGCAAGGTAGACAAACCCTTATCTAAGCTGACTAAAAGAGAGAGAATATACAAATCAACAAAATCAGAAACAAAAAGGACAATGTACAACAGACACTGAGGAAATCCAAGGAAGCATTAGGTCATGCTTTAAAAACCTGTACTCCACAAAATTGGTAAAATCTAAAAGAAATGGACAATTTCTTGACAGATATCAATTACCAAAGTTAAATCAAGATCAGATAAGGAATTTAAATAAATCTATAGCCCCTAAAGAAATCGAAGCAGTAATCAAAAGTCCCCCCAACCAAAAAGAGCCCTGGTTCAGAAGGTTTTAGTACAGAATTCTACCAGACTTCCAAAGAATAGTTAACAACCAATATTCTGCAAATTATTCCACAAAATAGAAACAGAAGGAACATTGCTAAATTCATTTTATGAGGCCACGATCACCCTGATACCTAATCCACACACAGACTCAACAAAGTACTTTACAGTTACAGGCCAATTTCCCTCATGTGTGTACATGCAAAAATACTAAATAAAATACTCACAAACCAAATCCAAGTAGGCATCATCCCAGAGATACAGGGATGTTTCAACATGCAAAAACCTGTCAGTGTAATCCACCATATAAACAAACTGAAAGAAAAAAAAAATCACATGATCATCTCATTAGATGTTGAAGAATCCTTTCACAAAATCCAACACCCCTGCATCTGATAACTATCCAGTTCTTACAAAACAGAATTTCTGCTGGGTGGCGGTGGTTCATGCCTTTAATCCCAGACTCAGGAGGCAAAGGCAAACAGATCTCTAAATTCAAAGCCAACCTGGTCAACAGAGCAAATTCCAGGACAGCCAGGGCTGCTACATAGAGAAACCCTGTCTTAAAAAACCAAAACACAAAACACAGCAACAAAGTAACAAAAACAAAATAAAATTTCTTTATTCTTAAAATATATGCACTTAATTATTTAAAGCAGATTAATGTGATCCAGGCCTGAATTGGAGGAGGATACTGATGGCACTCTTCCGATCTTTTTGGTCTGGGGGTGGGCACAATCAACCAGGAGCCGCTGGCGCTACTTAGGGCTTAATTAACAGAGGACACAAATGGGGCTCCCCCGGACTTGGTCTGGGGAGTTCACAATCAGCAAGCAGCCTGCCGGGCACCAGATGATCAGGTACCAACCTACCGAGTGCTGCCTGAGGTGTCTAGGCCCAGGCATCAGAGAGAGGAGGAAAGGCAACAACTCCACCATTCCTGTGGCTGGAATGGGCAGCGCTCAACCAAGCACCACCTGTGGCCCAACTAAGAGCCCTGGCACTGGGTGGTTAGGCACCATTGTGAGAGAGCACAGGGTGGAAGGTGGAAGAGAGTGAGAGAACTAGCCTCGCCCCACACCAACTGTAGCACACAAGACACCGGACCCTGCACCCCTCCTGGGCAGCACACTAGAGCTGACCCTGTCAGGGGCACGGGTGAGCCAGCCCTGAAGCCATGAGAACAGGAGAGTTCACTCCACCACCCTTTTATATTCCCCTACAGCAATCAGGAGAGAGGACCTGCACCTCGCCTGGGCAAAAGAGTAGAGCTGGCCCTGGAGATACAAGTGAGGGGGGACCCGATCTGAGGAACCAAGAGAAGGAGAACTGCCCTTACTCCTTGCTGTAGGCTACATTGGGTGAGCTAGCCAAGACAGTGCTGGAGAGCTGGGTAGTGATGATGAGGGAAAGCAATGTGCTGCCCAACCCTCCTACCACCCAGGCCCAGAACTAGGACTATGAGTGAGCCCAGCCCAATACCTACCTCATCTATGAACTGTTGGAGCATGTAAAGGGGACTATGGATCTAAAACAGCAGAATCTCCGTGATACTGGACAACAGCAGGATATGCAAGGTGAGCCCCATTGAGAGCCCATTATTGGTGGTGTAGCAGAAACCAGAGGCCTTCAGTCAGGCCTCTGACTTGTCGTAGTGAACATTTGCAAGTAAAGATGAATGGACTAAAGGGTAATCTGTGTGACAACAAGATTCTTCTTTTTTTTCTGTTTTTGTTTTGTTTTGTTTTTATTTGTTTTGTTAGTTTTGTTTTAAGTTGCGGGGGGTTGCAAGGGCAGAGGACAGATCTGAGGAGACCGGGAGATAAGTGAGGATGGAATGCACAATGTGAAATTCACAAAGAATCAACAAAAGGGGGAAGAGTAGATTAATACACAAATCCACTGATAGCAAGCTATGTGAGTGTGTGTGTGTATTGTGTATGTGTATGTGTATGTGTATGTGAGTGTGTGTATGTGTATGTGTGTGAGGGTATGTGTGTGCATGTGTGTGTGAGTGTGTGTGTTTGTGTATGTGTTCATGTGTGTGTGTATGTGTATTGAGTGTGTGTGTGTGTGTGTGGGTATGTGTGTGTGTGTGAGTGTGTGTGTGTGTGTGTGTGTGTGTGTGTGTGTGTGTGTGTGCACTCACTTTCCCTTACATTCATTTCTACGTGCCTGTATTACTAGACCCAACAAAACTAGCAAGACAACAGATTAAACACTCCACAACAAATCCAACTTACAAATCCAGATCCATAGAAGGAGCTAGAAGAAAAACTTCAAACTCAAGAGGATTAGCATACCCAGGAAAAAGGGAATAAATCCCAGACCAGCAAATCAGAAAAGCGCATTGGGGTGGGAGGGGGGAGGACACCATAACAACAAAGTAACAGAAATCAACAAACGCTGTGCATTGATAACCCTCAGCGTCAATAGTCTCAACAGAAGCAAACCACTGGCACCTTGATTGGTCTTCCCATTCTCCAGAACTATAAAAAAATACATTTATGTTTTTAAGCTACCCAGTTTATGGCTTTGGATGTGGCCACCTGCTTGGACTAATACATAGCCTAGAGCTAGAATGTTGGAGTTGGTACTGTGTCTTCTATTGGTTTGCTAATGGCTCTCATTCCTACTGCATCATGGGGGCTGAAGGCATCATCTGTGTGCTTTGTCTCCCTCTCCCCAAGACGTTGACTGACCAGTGGACTATTAATCCAGGTTTCCTAAGTAAATGAGGCAGAATCTGTGACCATCTCAGTCATTCACTGAATATAATGTATCTCTGCTTAAGCTTATGACAAACTTACTCTGGCATCTGACACAGAGTAAATCAAGGAAATATTGCATACTTGTCCTATCTGCCTGCTCTGTCCTCAGCATGGATACCGGTGCTTTAAGAGAGTTTCTTAGAAAAGATGCTGAGTGTATATAGCTATGGAAAACTTACTCTGAAAATAAATATACATTCATCTGTACATTTTATGTGAACATGAGCCAGGAAACAATGGATACTAAAACAGGGAAGAAAATGCTCAGTGATGTGTTGTTAATAAATTAAGAATAATACGTCTTCTATTGGCCATATAGAGTTTAATATGAGTGGAGATTTGATCTCTACCTTTTAATTTTACGCCAGCTTATCTTTTATTGAGAATATTTATCTACCTAACCCTTGTCCCTCCGTGTCCTGTCCTGTGGAGGCACTGATAATGATTCATGGGACTAGGTTTAAATACAGGTTAAATATAATTTATTTCAGGGAGAAGTCACTTACACAAGAAGCAGATGGCCGCCACAGGTTCCCACTCTAAGGATCCGTACAGGCTGCTCCCCGGGACCCCCCACCCGATGCAAGAGAGAGCCACCTGCCGGGACCCCAGACCTAACCTCACTCCCAGTCATGTCCTCACCTATGACCCTATGACCACGCCCAAAGGGGCATGGGCAGTGCTACAGGTACAGGCAGGGTAGATATCTCACTACAATTCCCCTTTTAGTCTAAAGAAAAAAGATTTAGGCTTGATACAAAACTATATACAAAGATAGCAAATATCAAGTGTGCTCTAGGAGAAGGAAAAGTAAGAACAAACACACTTAGAACCTATTGCCAGTGAAGCAACTAGAGCAAAAGGCAAGAACTACATATCTAATCCTAATATTTCTATCTAGGAAGAGAGAGCAATAATTGTGACAGTCTAATCTTGAACCCCATCAAAGACTTGAGAAGGAGGATAACAATACTAGGGTAGGCAGGAAGTGTAGGCGAGCAACTTCAAAAAGGTGCATTGAAGACAAAAACAGCAGGCTACCTGGACAGTCAGTCACCACATCCTCACCTGTGACCATGCCCAAACAGGTGTGGTAAGTGCTACGGGTGCGGGAGGGGTGGATATCTCACTACACTGCCCCCAGTATTTCAGGGGATATTTTACTGAAGGAAAGACTATGTAACCTTTACTGTGTAGTAGAGGGTGTGTATATGAAATCAGAGGAAAGGAAAATATATATTCCCATTGAAATATTGTATGCATGTATGTTATTTGTCAAGAACCAGCATAACTAAGACATATTAGAAACCGAAGACATTACTTAATTCTAACTCATTTGGTAGGAATTTCTCTGTACCAAAATTGCTTTTGTTTGTTTTCTTTTTATTTCATTTTGTCTAGGCCTTGGGACATTCAGTTAGAATTTATGGTTATTGCAAAATCCACCACTTTGACCACGCTGTTTTCCACGTTGTCTCTAGGGCTTAAATAGTCAATAACAAAGAGATGGATGTGATTCAAGGAAAGAAAGAAAATGAGTTGTTTCTGGCTCTGATAGTTTGAATGCACCATGCTGTAGTTGCTGACTCTTCATTGTCCTTTACTTTCTGCAGGAAAAAGCCTAATATCTTTATCAATAGAAGACTAGTACATGAAAGACCACAGAACATGAAAATCATAGAATAAGATGCACCTATAGGTGCATAACAAAGATTGCCATGCACTGTCTCTATAATAAAATGAAAATAAGATGCTGCAGAGTAACACCTGATCTGACCGTTTATGTTCCTTACTTGGGGCCTTTGTACCACCTTCTCCTCTGCCCACAGCTTCTCCTCTGCCTACAGTCTTCTTCCCTTCAGAACTCATACGCCCACCGAGCTCTTCAACATGCCCTTTAAGGTGTCTTCTCTACCCCTTCACTTGCTAATCTCTTCCCTTGCTTCATTGTTCTGTATTTTCACTATAATTATCCAAAATTATAGCCTCATATGCTTATATTGAATTCTGTCTCTCTTCTAAGAAGAGGAACACCATAAGGAAAGCTCATAGAGCTTGCACTCTTTTCATCTTATTTTCAATGTCCTCTGTTGTTTACATTGTTTTCTTTTTTATTTATCTTGGGTTTTGTTTGTTTGTTTGGTTGGTTGGTTTTTCAAGACAGGTTTCACTGTGTATTGTTGGCTGTCCTGGAACTCACTCTATAAACCAGGCTGGTCTCAAACTCGCAGAGATCCACCTGCTTCTGCCTCTCTCCATTTTTTTTCTCTTGGTTTTCCTTTCTTTCTTTCAAGTGCTCCAGATTTAACTGAAGGCCTTGTGTTTTACAGGCAAATGCTCTCCCACTGAGCTAAATCCCAACCCCTCAACCTCAGATTTCCTTCTTAATTAATTTGGGGTTTTCTAGACTAGGAGGTCATGGGAACAAATTTGAACTTGGTCCCATTGTATGTGTTTTAACCTTACTGTTACTTATAGCCCAAACAAATAGTCATTCTGATAAATGGCTAGAAGAATAATGTGGAAATCTCTAGGACTTTGGCTGAACTCTCTTCAGTTATCGCTTTCTTGACTTCTGATAAGTTTCCTGAATTCCTTTTTTTTTTTAATTAAAAGACTTTAAAAATCCCCCTCTGACCTAAGTGTGGTTGGGTTTGCATTTTTATAAGATAATGTTATTTTGGTTAAGGAAAAAGTACTAGTGGTCGCAGAGCCTTGCTCAGGCTGGTCAAGTACTGTCATCATGCTGTATTCTCAGCCCATTGAGAGAAAATGTGATGATTACTCCTGAGATGGTGACTTCCTGTTTCCCAAGCAGTCCTCAAGCTTCTGGGCTCAAGTGTTCTTTCCACTCAATTTCCCAAGAAGCTGAGCACATGGAATCATTGACAACATATGCACTTAGTGATTGCTTATCTTACTAAATCCTGTAAGACTTCACTATGTAGAACTATTTTATGCTTTTTAAGTCATTGCTTGTCTAATATGATGTAAATGGACATCAGTTATTATATGAAGGCTATTATAGAAAAATGCTCCAGGAATTGACTGGAGCTACAGGCAAGATCAGTTTGCATTTTATCTGATCTATGCTTAGGAATGTTAAGTCAAGTTCCATTTAAAATATTTGTTTCTGATGTACAGTACATTCAAGTACAGGAATGTGTACCAGAGGCAGGCTATGGCATCTTTGTGCTATCTGCCTTCTGGCCCACATGGAAGTTCTTCTAAAAGTAAATTGAATGTGGACATGTGATTAAAATTCTGGATGCAGAGCCAGGCAATGGTGGTTCATGCCTTTAATCCCAGCACTCAGGAGGCAGAGGCAGGTGGATCTCTGTGAGTTTGAGACCAGCCTGGTCTACAAGAACTAGTTCCAGGACAGCCTCCAAAGCCACACACAAAAAAAAACCCTGTCTCAAAACAAAACAAAACAAAACAAAAATTCTCGATGTAGCTCACTTCCTTACTCTTAGGGTTACTTTGGAAGATTCCACCATTTTTGTAGATACAGTAGCTTTCTCAATATGACACTAAGCTTAATATGGGAAATGCCATTCCAAACATGTAAAATGTATCTAATCTTCACAGTTCTTCCAAGGAAGAATATCCAACATGCACACATGCTGCTAAGTCCCTCATACTCTGATTCTCTCTGCCTATGATCTTACCACCTAATAAACAGTTCCTTATTTATTATGCAGATGAAACTACACATGCATGTGTAGTTTTGTCTGTCTCCATGTTGCAGAATTTTAATATCCTGAAGGCATAAATGTTCATTTGTTTTGTTCAGTAGTATAATT